GCCGCATCACGCGAAAACTTCATATGTAGAGGGGGCCTCCCCCCCCCCCTGCGGGTTCAACTCCCCTCTGGGACGCCTTTGGGACACCTCTTGGACACCTCTTATGGCATCCACTTTGGTTCAACTCCTCCGTGGAGGTTTTGGAATACGATGCAACAGATTCAACAGATTCACAAGCTAAGGTTGGCTGTGTCATTGCTGTTCGTGTGTCTTACATGTTCACAACGTTTTACCTCATGAGCGAGACCTTGTGAACCATCCCTCCAACAGCCCCATGCCTATGAAAAAGATGAAAACAGATTTGCCTCACTCCGCTTGATGTCCCACCAGTCCTTTGTCACTGGACGACGCTGTATGCTTCGCCTCCACTGACACGGATGCATCCCTGCGTTCGCTTTCGTCCCCTACCCTCGGCCTCAAGTTGATGCATTTCACAGGTCAGGAATCAGGAGTCATAGGATGATCCACCAAGATGGACTCCAAGATCTTCCCACTGGCTGTGCTCCTTTTTTTTCGCTGCCCGCGGCACGGCTAAGCGAATCAACCATTCAGAAAGGTGCTCACTTGTTGTTTCATTCAATTGGTATACGGTATATATTGATGTATATGTCGTACAATATTTGGTGTGCTTGAGATTCAATGCCACTGAAACACCACAAGACACCCTTCTGGACTCCTGGACCTTACTTCTTGGACATTCGTGTTGTTCCCAAAGCGGGTTGGATTTCGCGATGTTTGAGCCTACCATCCAGGTGATCATACACGTTTTTCAATTGCCACACCTTCTATCGACTACGTGACTACACTCATCGACTGGCAATTATGCTTTTTTGTGCACGCGAACCCTGATATTCAGCAGAAAACGTTAGATGTCATCGGCCCGCCAGAGTGCAAATTGAATCTAGAGAGACAATCTAAAGAGGCCCAAAGGGGACCATTTGAACAGCCATGTTTTTAGACCCCTACCGACCACATGGACACCGTGGAACCAATAAGGTTGGGAAATCCGTTCTGTATAAAATGTCTTGTCCGTCCGGTCACCAGGCAAATTGCAAAGAAGATCCTGGCTGGGTTGTTTGCAGGACAATGCCTTTCCACTGGTTTCATTCGACCCGGGTCCAATGAGATCGTCGGGTATCCCCATCAGCAGCGACGGGTCCCACGCTGCCTGCACAGGCATGATGGAGCAGGTGATGACTTGCCCGCCGCTGAGGCGCGACGTGAAATACGCGAGATGAAGTGGGTTAAGTTATGTTCCAGTAAACCGGCAATAAAAGACGTTCACTATTCTTGGGAAAGGCCTCCAACATATCTATCAACAACCACTGTTGCTGGGAATGGGATAATATACCCAACATATCTCTAGGATGTCAGCACTTGACCAAAAAGAAGCAGTCACTGTGGCCTGTACATGCAGAATCGACTATGGTGTACCCCTGAGTTGAAGCAAGAATCGGGGGTAGATAATTTTAGAATGTTCTGTATTGTTCTGTCAATTAGTTATGATATGTTATGAATAGTTATAGTTATTCTTAGATATTCTTGGCGCCCTCCACCCTGCTGTTGCTAGGCCTCTCTGGCGGTCTTGGTGCAGGGCGAGCCCTCAAAGGCAGCGAAGCAGTTCTGGCGTTGTGTGGGTGCATCGACGTGTTGACTAGGCACTAGCACTCCGGCATCAGTTACCCTGGTGTTGGCCAGGAACTAGCCCACTGACGCTAGTCAACCTGGTGGCCAGGCACTAACACACTGGCCGGTGAGTTTGTTGCTGGCAACTGCTTTGCTTTGGTGGTGGTGTTGTTTTTTTCTTGTGCAGGAAGAGCTGGCAGATGCGGAACGAGGACTGAAGACTATTTTACAGCGGAACATATTATGTATACCTTCAAGTGCATTGAGGCCGCGCGTGTTGTTTCATTTCACGCAACTGTTGGGCCAAGCTGTCAAAAAGAATCACATCGATCGATCGGAAAAAAAAACAAAAAAAACAATGCAGAAGTTCTTTTCATCCAGCAACTCAAGAACACCTCAAACGACTTTCTGCCCAAGACCTGCTGAGGACCCGTCCAAGACATGGCAGTGACCTGTGCTTCGGAAGGTCTTTACTTGGGCCGCCTCAGTTTGCTTGAGGCGCCGGGATCAGTGGGTTTTCTCGATCCGGGATCGCACTAGTTCTGGGAGCGGCGATGGAGCCTGACTTCCCTGGCAAAAGGACTTGGCCTGGCCCAATTGTTGGTGGTCTCTATTTAAAATATTCACCCTGGGAGTCGGTCAGACTATAAAAAGAATGGTCTTTAAGGGAACTGAAAGGAAACTTCCTTTACTCCAGCCGGTCTTTGGACTTCTAGGGTACACATGATTTGCACACCCATATGATTCCGACACGATCGAATCCTGGAGGCGGTGTCATTGACGTGTTTCTGAATGGCGTGCTTGGCGTGGTTCTTTGGTTTCTTTCTTTCCTGGAAGTGCTCTTTCAACAAGAAGATCAGCGCGTATCGCCGCGGGCACGGCGATATGTTGAAAGTCTTAAGCGGAACGTGGGAGCCTTCGCAGACTACATCCAAGAACAAACTATTTACTTCTGAATTGGTTCAATTGAGGAAACCCTGTTGCAAACACCGGGGTGTGGTAGTCTAGCACTAGTCATGAAGCCGAGGTTGTCCACGGGCTGAATGAGTACTAGTCAGGTATTAGGAGGACTGGAGACGGTCAATAAATGTAAATAAATGTCAAACATGTTGTTTTGCAATGTTTTGGATGTACTTGCATCATCTTGAATCCACATTGTCATTTGCTCAAGGTGGTAGACCTCTTGGCCCAGAGGCTCTGGATGGAAACCAACAACCCTGAACCGATTGGGAGGTGGGCCCACCATTTTGTTGGATGTCGTTGGTATTTGATAAACTCCGCTTGGCCATTCGACCAAATCTGTCAAATACCATGTTGTAGAGGTATATAATTATCGGACATACGAGCGGACTGTTCGCGTCAGCTACTCGCCCCTGGGAATCAGAGGTATATAATTGTCCCACATGCTGAATCTTTTCTAGACTAGTTCTAGACTTGACCCCACCTCCCTACCGCTACCACTGATTATTCTTGACCCCATCCAAGTACTCATAGTGACGGTCATCCGCATACTCTGTATCACTGTAGTGAAGAGCTCTCAGCATGGCATCCCCTGTAATACGAGCCGAGCTCGAGCTTATTGGAGAAGAAGAACACTCCTCCGCGACCCGCGACAGGGGGAATTGCGTGTGGGCACCACTGACAGGGAGGCGGGACGGGACACGGGATCCAGAGGATCGATGGGAGGTTCGTGGTCGGACCGGACCGGGTCGTAGGGTGCGATGCGCAGAGACGTCGATGTGTCCAAATGCTTTTGTTTGGTCAAGTAAAAGGGTCAAGAGCTGCAATATGCTGCAAGTGGTCAAGAGCTTTTGGAAGACCATGACTTACGCTTGGCAATGCATGTGTGTGTGCTTGCACATTTGGTTGTAGATTGCGGTTGGCAGGGAGACATCTAACGTGTGCTGGCGCGCGGTTTGCTTCTTCTTTGAACAAAAATCAGTACCAGCAGGATGAACAGCAGCACCAAGCTGAACCCCAAATCTTTCTTGAATACTCCCTACGGCTCTTCTCTCATCTCCCCAGGTTCGGTGGGGACTGAACCCCCAAACGCACCCACCCCAGTCCCACCGTGCCTCAGGAAGTGGGGGGTTGGAGCCCTAGGGACTTGAAACCCACATCCCTGCCAAGGGCCGTCCTCCCCGACAAGGAGGGTCTGTCGATCCATCCGAAAGCACCTGAATCATGGTAGGCTTGACTGTTCAGCATTGCATCATCAAACATCCATTAGTTTTACTAAGGATTCTCTAGGCTTAAGAAACCTAAACTAACACACAGAAGAGTTGTGCTGAGTTCAACCATGTTCAACCTCTTAATTCTAGACTAAAAAATCAGGTCAACCATTATTTTAATGGTCTTTGAAGGCTAATGCATCATTGGATTCCCCGTTTCGCGCATCGGACTCCGCCGCAGGTTCGTCGCTTCTTTGCGGATTGGAATCATCGTATTGCACGGTTGGCCTAGTTTGGGGGCGGACACGGGTGCGAGGTGCCAACATATATAGGGTTTCTATCAGAACCTTCAGTACGTGACCTCTTTGGAGTCTGTAAGTGACCTCTAAAAATGGACTAAGTGACCTAAAATTGAGATCTCAAGTTTAGATGTTCTCCACAAATCCCAGACACGGGACTGGCAGGACCGGGCCGGCAGTGGGACGCAGACATACGTACGGTTCCATGGAGTGGGACTGGGGTCTTAGGTGTCGTGGACGGGGACGAGGACGCACCAGTGGCGTCTTCTAGCAGTCTCAGAGTTCCCGATCGAACCCCGAAACGGAGAAGCAGAGTGAAGTTTTGGAGCAGTTTGGATCTGCACCACTGTAGCATGAGGCGGTTCAGATCAGAATATTGATTCGTTTGTGTTTATGTGCTTTTTTTTATCCTGCAGTTTTGTGTTTGTTTGTTGTTGTTTTTTGTGTGTGTCTTTCCGCAGGCTTGTTGCCCTTGGCTAAGGCTCGATGTCGGCTCCCGACCGGTCGTCCCTCTCACCGGTCATACAGAGCCAACACAGAGCCATAGAGCCTACAGTGCAAGAGAAGGGGCCGTGTAGCACTGCACTCTCTTCCCCCCATGTTGATGAACAAGTTGCATAGCAAGATATAGCATGATATAGCAAGCACAGATGAAGCTGTTGTGGAAGGTGATCCTGTACAGTAACTAGTATATTGATATATAATATATATGCATATATAATAAATATTTATATAGAACCCAGTTGACCTCTCTGTTTTGATAGGGAAAGACCATGGTTTTAGCTTCAAAACAGGGGTCAATAAGATTCTATGCAATATATTATATACAGGATTCTGCAGGTATTGGGTATGTCCTATTACCTTCAACAGTCAGCAAACAATTATCACTAATGTTTAAGAAAGGTCTGTACCAACCATCACCCTCCACTATTTCCTGGTAGTATACTGACAGTAAGATCGACAACATATATAGGTATACATCATAAATCCTATAAACCGACTCTTTCTTCACAGACCCACCTGGAAAAACATGTCCAACAACGGTTCCTTCTGCGAGTTCGCTGCCTCGATCTCCCAGATCGGCAACGGCCTGCTCTGCGCGCGGGGCGCCGGCGTCCGCCGGACCTTCCTGGCGCGGGTCGGCCTGAGGCGGCCGGTTTCGCACTGGGAGGAGTCGGAGGTCTCGGGTCGTCGTGTTGACCCAGGAAGAAGTGGAGGAAACAAAATAAATCCTAAGAATCCTTGGGGAGGGGTCGGGCCCTCCATAGCAGGGGTCCGGACCCTCAAAACCCCTATGTGATTGAGGGCCCGGATTCTTAGGGAATGTAAAAAAACGTATGGAATTGTTTAAACCAAAAACATGAGAAAGACAGGGGGGCACGGCCCACTCCGAAACGAGGCGGTGAACCCGATAAAGATGATGTGAACGTCGTGTTCTTTTCCGGTCTTCTCGGGATTCCGAATGGAAAGAAGAAACATGAGCCCGATGGTTGGATCCGTTTGGATGGAGGCGGTCTAGCCAAGTTTCAGGGATGTTCCACTGGGTTGGAACATGGGTTCCTACCCAGACATTGACCCGTAACTGGGACTGGAATATATGCCGCCCCAGAAACACCTATTTCAACCACCCCAAGGTAGAATCATTTGCTCATTTGGTCTGCAGGCACCCCACCTGTGTGTAGCGATCGCCCATGTTTTGCAGACTTGGCTGTTTTGGCAGCTGTTTTGGTTTCCAGGTCCACCAAGAGCGCCGATTGTACGAGAAAATTGGTGTGTGGTGTGGATGATGGTGCAGTATATTGCAAGGTGTTTGGTACCACGACAACAACTAGACCACAAAGCACCGCAAAAGACCTTCAACAATGACACCCACTTCTCCACGGAATGCAGTAGACCAACCCAATTCATTGGCAAACAGTGTCATATCAGGCAATTTCACAGGTATGATGAAAACGACCAGGTGAAGATCTAGGCCTTTTTAAGCATCCAGATCAGGTTTAAAGCATCCAGCCCAGTCCGTTGTCGACAACGTCATTTTCCAACGACCAACCCATCCGTTTGGCCATGGGTCGGACGGACGGTGGGCGTGGCTTTTTCGCGTGGACACCGCGGTGGACACCGCGCGTGGCTGCCACGTGTTGCTGCTTGCTAGTGCCGGGTGTCCTAAGGAAGTCAAAGAGACTGACGCGGGGAAAAAGCAATGGTGTTTTTGTGCATGGTTGTGCCGTGGTCCAGCTGGAAATTGACACAGAGCAGATGTAGAAGCCGATGAAGCACCTGAATGCAACATATGTTGTTGTTCTTCTCTTTGCCAGAGTGACTGATCAAAGATGTTCAAAGTCAACAGCGGAGTTGTTGTGACCAATTGCAGAGGCATTTGAATATGTTCGTCAGCAGCCGTCTCTTTTCAGCGACTACTGACCGAGGCCCTTTAGTGCATTCAGCTTTGTGCCACACTTTAACCTCCCGGCCGGGACATGGGATACGGCATGCGAGTGCTGTGGATGGTGTTCCTGTGGTTTTGGAGCAGCTTCGCAAAGGCTTCTTAGGATGTTAAAACTGTTGCCACTATCACAAAAGTTGTTTGATGTAGATGTGTTTGGACTTGATCAACCAAGGTTTCTGACGCTTCAGCCGACAGGGGGACAGCATCAAGCTTCTGGCACCATCCAAAGTGTTACCAATTAAACTGACCTGGGCTGTTCTGACAGGGTTTCTTAGGGCTCCCCTTTTTTTTAACACCCCAACCTTTTTTTTTTTAACCCACCACTTTTTTTTAACCCCCCAACCCTTTTTTTAACCCCCTTCAAAACAATTGTTTTTAACCCTTCAGACCTTTTCTTTTTAACCCCCCCGACCTCTTTTTTTTAACCCCCGGACCCTTTTTTTCTCACCCCCGAGCACTTTTTTCTAACCCCCAACCTTTCTTTTTTAACCCCTGACCTTGCTTTTTTAACCCTTGACCCTTGCCTGCGAGTGCCTATGCCCCTCGGACCACTTACACAGCGCCCACCCAGCACGCTGCGCCAGCCCACTTGCCGTGATGACGCGGGGGTGTCACGCTGTTGCGCGGCTCGGCTCCATAGCGGCAGCGCGCCTGTAGACACCTACCCCTCCGAAACTGGAAGACTTGCCTTGTCTCACCCAGATTTGTCATCTTGTGCTGGACGACACCTCCGTCCACTAACCTTTTCTGTATGCATGGGGGCGACGCCTGCGCGCGTGTTGAACAGCAACAACAACAACAACAACAACAACAGCAAGAACAACAAGAAATCCAACTTTTCTTTCTTTCACACGCACTCGGATGAGAAGCGCCGCCCTGCGGCCATAGGCCGGACTCCTGTTGGAGATCGTTTCTGTATTGAGGCATGGGCATGGATGGAGGTAATCAGCCGTTCCAAGCGGCTGGGAGTACCCTCAACATCCAAAAGGTCTAAGGTGGAGGAAAGCTCGGTCAAAATCAACAGTGTTGAGGCCAAGCATCAAAAAGGTCAATCGGTGAAGTGAGTGACATTCACCCTTCATCAAAACTAAGGAGGGCCGAACAAAAAAATCAAGTTCGCTCTCACTTGGCCGTCTGCCATCTATCAGCATCATCTCATCAGCTGCCCCAGCGGCCGAAGGCTGCCCAGCGCATTGCAGCGGCAGGCGCAACCATCAGCAGCAGGTGGAAAAGCTTAAGAAATCCAACAACAAATCCAACAACAACAACAACACCAGCAGCAGCAGCAGCAACAACAAATCCAACAACAACAACAACAACAAGCGAAGCAAGTACCTTTGCTTGACTTTGGGGGGAGGCGCTGCGCCCTCCCCCCGAGCCCCCCTCCAGCTTTCTTTGTTTTCAAACAGTCCGCGCGTGTTCGTCAAGCGGAGTGACTTGCCTTGTCTCACCTAGATTTGTCATCTTGTGCTGGACGACACCTCCATCCACTAACCTTTTCTGTACTATGTGCATGGGGAGGCGCGCGCGCCTGTAGATACCTACCCCTCCGAAACTGCAGCTGTCAAGCGCCTCCTTTTGTCACTTCCACTCGAGTTTGACTTGAAAAAAACGCTGCGCCCTCCCCCCAAGTTGTGGAACACGTGCGCAATCGTCAAGCGGAGTGTGTGAAAAAGAGACAGCAGCGCCTCCCCCCGAATTCAAAGCAAAGGTACTTGCTCAACCACCACAACAACAACAGCAGCAACAATAAATCCAACAACGACAAGTGAAGCAAGTACCTTTGCTTGACTTCGGGGGGAGGCGCTCCCCCCGAGCCCCCCC